CCACTTCCACATGGGACTTGTCTTCCTTTGCTTTTCTCTGGTACTGCGGCCAAGGCTACCCTGTGACCTCCGGCAGCCTGATGCAGCTTGATATTCCCTGGTGCTTTGACACGTGGGTTTGGTGCTCCGGTAGCTCCATGGAGTTTCTTGTATTTGTGTACAATTTGGTACTGTGGAAAGAGCTAAATATTTTCCCTGCTCTTCCTTCTTTTCCTGCTCGATTACTGTTAGTGGCACAGCCCTTGTTCTGCACTCCCATTTTATCACCTTTGTATCAGAGCACGGGAAAGTTCAGGCTCACGCTGGGAAACACACGCTTGGATGAGGATGACGCCGGTACGGGGCAGGGCATCAACAGCCCTCGGGGTGCTTGGGGACAGAGGCTATTCACTGGAACTACTGACATGCCGAGAAAAGGTGTGTCTAATCCACTGCCCAGCTCCTCTGCCTATACACGCCTGCGTGAAGCTGGTATGCAGCGACGGCACTGTGCGTTCTCGGTGGGTGCTTTCAGGAAACCCGAGCGGTCACGCATGTTTTCGCCGATAAGGATCTTACCACACCCACGCAGAGAGTGCTACCCTGGTGTTAAAGAGGAGCAGGGCTGTGACTCCTCACTCTCGATCTAAGTCACTTAGTGCCTCAGTTTCCCCAGCTCTAAAATGGGGTTAGTAATACGTTGTTGAGATTATGTGTTTCTCAGGTGTGGGATTTCATAGGCGGCTATAAAACAAAATTTATTGTACTGAAGAGAGGTTGCAGAGTACTTTGAGAGCCTGAAAAGACTGAATTGAAATGCTTATTTTATTATGTATTGCATTGGAGTGATTGAAAAAACTGTTTTAAAGGTGTGCAAGCATCGTTATCTGTATGTATAGTATCCATACACACAGACAATTTTTACTTACCAATCCTTTAAGCTCACCTTTAATAGAAAATGCCTTTGCTTTCCTGTTTTCTTTTAAGCCTATAAATTGCCTGGTTGAAGAGTCACAAGTTGCTCAGAAGTCATACTGTTTTCCTCAGTATTTCCAAGCTAAGTCCAAGGTAACTCCTAGGGTTTTGTGACCATATGAACATGGCTGGAGTGGTACATTACAGCTGACGTGCGCTGCCCTGTAATTCATGTGTGTACACATCTCAGGGCTGAGGAGCACTGCTCTGCAGATGAAGACACCTAGAGGCCATGGATGGTGGTGTATGAAGCAGGAAAATGGAGGGGGTACAACAGGAGAGAGGAGTAGGAAGCGCTGGTCAGACAAGCCCATGGAGTCTTCCATGGCAGCAGAAGAGCTTTTAGGAAAACCCCTCCCAAAGCTCTCCGTCACCTCTGGCTCCTGAACCGTGCCCATCAGACAAGCCCCTGGCCCTGAACACGACAGTCGCACCACTGACTGCTTGCTTGCTTGCTTGCAGTTAGGTCCATACAGCATGCATTAATGTGCAGCATCACCGCTTCCTTCTTGCTCAAGGCCCTCTACTACACTATATGTTACACACTGTGGAAGTAAAGGGAGGACACAACCCTTCCCTGCTCACGGGTCTGCAACCTCATGGAGGTGTTGCTGCAAGAATGGTTTTGTAGGTAGACAGATGAAAACCGGCTATGATCTTCCCAAGAGCAGCAGTAGTTTCTATCACTCTCTGTGGCTTACGTTTAACAGAGAGCACAGACCACCTTGTGTTAATGAGTAATAAAAGCAATCGACCCACAGTGCATTTGTCTCTTAGCTGGGAGTGTGTGTAGACGAGGTGATAAGGCTGGTACATTAGCGAAGTTATGCTGCATTGATACCACAGAGTTTAAGAGCCCTACAAGGCCAAGCTCTGATCAGTATTAGGATACCCTAACGCTTTTGTTAGTGTCAAAGTACTGTAAATGTTAGGTTAGCCAAGAGAGTAAGATACAGTTAGCCTACATAGTACAGCCTACAAATCCATTTAAAAGCTACACTGTGTCATGTCAGCTAGGTTTTAGGCTATACAAAGACATCTTGGGAGGTTATTTTGGGAGACCTGTTTTCCGAAGCCGAGGGGACATCTGTTGTGCTAAGCTAGGAAAGCAGAGTATGATGGGAAACTGCTGCAGACTTTGCTTCATGAAGATGCTGACTTGTTTTAAATAAAGAGTATTAAATATGTACCTTGCCAGTTTCTACTGAATAAGATTATTGTATTCTTTCTAATAACTCTAGCAGTTTCCATGGTACTGTTCAGACACATGGACCTAAAGCAGGACCAAATATTGGATTGATGTCTCTGTTAGGTGAAAACCACAGACTATCTTCATTGTCTTGCATGCTCGGGAGCAGTCTTACGCAGGGAAAACTGGGGGATCCTGCCACCGAGGCTAGGATGCTCCTCAGCCCTGAGCTAGATGCAAATGGCTGGTGAGAAGCCACTTCCTGTCCCCCAGTGACTCATGGCCAGGGAAGCACTGGCATCCTGCTCTAGGAAGGGTCACTCGCCTGCCCTGCCCCGCAGGGAGGGTGAACACAGGGAGGTGGCTGGAGCTGGGACAGCAGCACAAATTGCTGGGCATGTGGAAAATAAGACTTAGCTGGGACAGCTGTGACAGCTATGGAGAGATGGAGCAAAGCCCAGGCAGCACTGGCACCTGGACACACTGCCCTCATCCCTTAGTGGAGTTTGCACCTTGGGCTGACATCCGATGTGCTAAGCTGGAAGGACAGAGTATGATGTGCCCATTAGAAAAGCTTAGAAACACCACTCTGGCTATTACTGTGGTCCTCCTGTTCCCCTGGGAGTTTTTTGCTTTCTGCCTCAGTCATGCTTGTCTTGCACACGCTTTCACCATGCAACAAATGAGTAAAAATGGCCCCATTCTCCTCATCTTATCATCTCTGAAAAAGGCTTGTATTTGGGTGCAGGACAGAAGGAGAAAACAGTGAGATCAATATGGCTATAATGCATTTCCTGGCTAAGCCTCTGATACCGTAAAACTCTGCTCTTGCTGCCTCTAGTGACTCAGAAGTCTGTTTGTGGAAGGCGCTCTCAGATTTTCCAGGCCTTTTCTGAGCTCACCACACCACTTTCTATGAGTTACTACTAACAAAAATTGGCTGGGATATCTCATTTTGAAAACTGGTGCAGCCACAGGTTAATTAACACAGTGCAAGACAAGCATAGGAAGATGATGCATATTGTCAGTACCTGTCTCATATCAATGCAATCTATACATATGTGGCTAATGAAAGTCATTATGCTTTATGGGACCTGCACGGCCAATGCCCTGTCCCTGTGGATCAGAACTCTACCCTTGTCACTGAAAGCCGTGAAGTGAAGACCATGGGTGTTTTTGACTTACATAGACACTTGGATGCCAGAAAACTCAGCAGAAAGCATCATACCTGCATGACTGTATCAAGACATGTATCTGGCAGAGAAGGAAGAATAAAAGTTCCTCACTTGTCAGCTTCTCTGAATGGAATTAGAAAACAGAGAGCAGAAAAGCTAACGCAGCAGACAGTCCTGCAGACCCGGGCTTTTTGACCTGGGACATTTGTTCGTTACCTAGTGTCTCCCCAGGACATCTTCTGCAGTGTGACCTCTGAGGAACAGAGTGATCTGGGATCAGGACAAAAGATTGTTAACTCTGACAGTAAAACTGCCTCATGAGGTTATAATAGGAATTATGTGGGTTGTGTATTGCAAGAATAATAAACTTCTTATTGCCATTGTATTTGGAGGGAAATCTCGGAGAAGAGAAAGCAAGCTTTGAGCAGTTCCGTAAAAGTACCGATTGGCTCCATCTGGAGGTGGCAGCTGAGATGACAGACACCATCAGTTTGGGAAAGCAGATTGTAAGCCGAGCTGAAAGCAGAGCAAGAATCTGCTCCTCAGCCCTGTATTGAAGACTTGCCCATTAAAGGAGGTCTCCAGTCTTTCATGGCTTCTCATTTAAAAAATAAAGATCACCGAAGATGTGATGGTTTCTGCGCATTTGTACCTTTGGGATAGGAGGAATGTCTCGTCCTGCTGCTGGAAGGTGCCCTGAAGCTCTGCTGGGTTTCTTGGCACTGTGAGAGAGGGGGCACTGAGTGAGAAGCTTCCTTGCAGAGGCCCTGTCCTTCTGTCCCCGGCAGCCTGCATGAGCCCTGCTCACCCAGGGAGTCCTGCAGGAAAACAGGAAGGTTGCAATGGCAGTAAATGAGTAGGCAAAATCCAACCAAACAAAATGCCCCAAACTGGCACTGCCTTGAAAAGTTCAAGATTCCAACATGGGACCTGGACTCAGGCCATGAACAAATTGAAGTTCAAGGCATGAGAAGTATCTAGGTTTGGCTTAAAGGCAGAATACAGAGCTCTGTATCCGAGCTGGGATGGTTGTTGGTGTTGGCTCTGAAGGCCCATGGCTGCTACCTTTTCCCTTCCCTTTTTAGTGACATCCCGGTATTGCACTTCATCATCACAGCATCAGAGACCAACAGGGTAACCAAAGGGCCTGGGATCTACACCAAGACACTTTATAGATGCTCGTTGCTAAGGCATGAATCAATGTACAGGAACAAATGTGTGTGTGCACAAGAGCTCTTCCATGTGTCCCTTAGCAGTGCTTAAAACTTCTGCCCTGAAGAACAAGTTTTGATTCTTTTTTTTTTTAATCCCTACTTTGCCAAAACCTGCAATGATACCTGTTTTCCTTGCAAGTCCAGGACTCCAGTTACCTGCATGCCACTTCTGCACAACCCCATTTCTCTTCAGCCAGGCATGACAAGAGCTGTACCTGTGCAGGGCGGATTGGCTGCAGCAGCTCCCGTGGGTGCTCCCACCCTCCTCCCATCCCCGTTGCAGGTCAGTGTTGCTCCTGTGGCCATCACTAACGGATGGCATCTGCAGAACTGAAAAGTTCCCACTGCTCATGGCCACTGGAAGAGGGTAGTGGTGACCTGGGACACTGAGGCTCTGCCTCTACCCCAGCTTTAAGAACAAGGGCTAGGCACTGTTTTTTCTTTCCCCGCCCCGGATCACCTGCTGGCATGAGGTTTTTCCTCCAGTATGTGGGCTGTTTTTTTGCCTTTTTCTCTACTGGGTTTTTGATAACATCTACCTGGACAGACTGCTGGATGGTGAACGCTGATGACTCCCTGGAGGTAAGATCGGGGTGAGGAGAGCCTGATCATCAAAACAAATTTGTCCTAGAGAGTTTGGTTCCTGGCATCATTGCTCCAGTCTCATGTACGTTTTCCCTGTTGTGCTGGATGAAAGTGGATGAAAATGAAATTAATTACTTTGGCAAGAGCAGAGGAAAAGTGATATTTTGTGTAATTGTCTCTGCCAGACTTTATTATCCAGACTATGCTCTCACTTAGTAAGTTCAGGAAAGGTTTACAGGCTCTAGGTTAAATGTGCATGAACATGTACGGTTACCCTGCACCTCCAGCCTGCATGGATATTTTGGAAATATTTCTAATCTTCTAGGTCAGAATTCATGGTGGAAAAATCTGGAGTGTACACTTGTGCTCTTCAAGTGCTTTTCTTAACAGCCATTGAACTATAGGGCTAGCAGAAATTTATGGGGAGCATGGGGTCAGATCCAGCATTCAAAAATATCTTCTTGAACTTGTGCAGACAATAGAACTCTCATGTTAGAGAAAGGTACCGTCAAAAGTAAATTGCAAACCAGGGAGCAGAATGCTGCTTACATGCAAGGTGTGCCCCAGAGACTCCAGACCCCAAACCGTTGCTGATTTCCCGGCACTCAGTACTGCAAGTTTGTATTTTTCTTCCCAGAGCAGCCAGCACTTTCTGTATGTTTAAGCATTGCAGGTCCACAGTGTGGGAATCTGCTGTCTGGCAAACTGGATGCTTTATGCAGCAGAGGTGAAACACCTTCCAAGACAGAGAGTTTGGCTGAATATATCAGGAGGAAACTTTCTATCTGCTCTCCAGCATAGGAAACCAGAAGAGCTCCTCTGCACTCAGTGATTGCAATGCAATATTTAGCTGCATCATGTCAAGTGGTGAATTATCTGAGGAAATAAGGATAAAACTGATTACAAGGAAGATACCTTTTTTTCTCTATGCCACAAGAAATCCCAACAATCTGACTGCCAGTCCCACCCTGGAAGATAGCTGAGGTGGTCATAGATCCAATGTGGTGCGGTTGCTGATGGTCAGCATGTCTGCTCAGTGAGCCTCTTTGCAGGGAAAACAGTGTGCGTCCACTGATTCTGGCTGGGATATCACTCTTCATTTATCATCTTAATTTAGGATCTATTTTAGATTCCTATCAGGAAGATGTGAATTGTTTGCAGTCAGCTGAAGATATCAGTATACTCAGAAAAGCCAAATGGATCCCAGATTGTGGGAAAAACAGAAGAGAGAAACCCAGCTCTTAAGCGAAGTGAGTCTAGAAAAGATCCAGCCCGTTACCCTGAGGCGGTGTAACCTTGTCTTCTTGGCACAAAGGCACCTGCGCTGGGCTGTCACGCAGTGCTCCATTAACACCCACTTTGGTTATTAGCAGCCACTACTATCACATTCCTA